ACACACACACACACACACACACACACACACACACACACACACACACACACACACACACACAAACGTAGTTTTACGAGTATTAAGAACGAGTGTTTGAGGAACACAGTGGATCGAACAAGTGTGTATCAAATGGAGAAAATTCGTTTTTGAATTTTTAAATAATAATTGCTTCGATTTGTAATATATATGTATGATAAAAATTTTAAATCCTCTTTCTAAAACGTTTACGAAATACAGATAGAGAATCGATAATTTGATCGATCGATAATTTCGATAATTGAAAAATATTCTGTAAATTTATCAAGAAGCGTTTAAATTTTCAATCAATATGATATCTCGAAACATTCTAATTCTAATTTAAATCGTTATAAATGGATGAGTTTTTTTTTGTAAATTAAGCTTAAAATTAAGTAATTACTTGGTGCTAGAAATTCAGAAATATGACTCGAGCGATTTATGCTAGATTTCCAGTTATCTCCGATCAATAAGTGCGCAGTATCGATTTCTGAATAGGTTCCTTAGATCTTTATTTCTTTATTACGAAGCGTATAAAATCATTTTACGTTAAGTAACACACTCGTCATATGTATGTCATATAAAATCATCTCGAGTTGCTGCTACTTTGCTCGACTGAAAAAGTCGTAGAGCGCAAAAGGGTGAACGCACTATTAATCCTTTCTTGCCGCGAATTGACGTTTGAACGATTACGCAATCGCTTTCACAATCATTCCTTACATATAAAAATCTCGACGGGGGAAAGAAGCCAAGCAACGTGTCTCCCTCTTTCCATTTTTCAAAATTCGTGAATCAATTCGAATTCATTATTTTAGATTTAGGTTTACGTATTTTTATTATGTATACTTTTTTATCAAGCATTCTTTAAACCTACATAACATTCTTTTCTTCACTTATATCCTCGTTTCATCTTAGGGACACCCTGTATATTCGAATCTTCTTCCACGTTATTTTTTCCATTAATTTTTTTCATCTTTAAATTTATCCTCTCTAGACTTCTACTTGAACTTAATTCTATTTTTTTCACGAATTTTATTCAATTTATCGAATCCATTCATCGCACACACGACGAACGAACAAACAAAAGTAGAAACTCGCAACTTGAAATTTCACACGACCGTATCTCGATATTCCGCGATATATCGACGATACAACGATAACCACCCTCCTGTTCCGCGTGTGCTCAATATGTTGTGGGAGAAACGCGCGTCGAGAGTA